TCCATCTGTTAAAACGGCATTGATAACCTGCTTCTGTTCTACCAAACACCTAAACATTTAGAACGTGGAGTTCCATAGTGTATTATTTTTCTGTATGAGTTTATGTTGGATTAAATTAAATTTTTGCTGTCCTCTCTTCAAAGCTTTAAAGCAACATTTGAATGGTGAAAATGGGTAATTATATTGCTATCTTTTTAAGTATTTTTTTTAATTTTGGTAGAAGCATTCAATCCTCAACAATATCTTTATTTCTTGTAATGACACTTTTAATATTACTAGCATTATCATGAACTGCAGTACATATTTTTCTTGTAAGATTCCAATTAATTACAGTTTCTATCTTTGATGTTAAATTGAATCTAGGAGCTTTGATTCAAATCTCGGAAACCGGCTGTGGTATCCGTATGGATCCAGATCCGGATTGTTCACTTAAAAAAATTCGGACCAGATCCGGATCTGATCCGGATTAAAAAAGAATCCGGATCGGGACAGGGATTCTTATGTGCGAACTTAACACGTAACGTGCCTTATTGAAAGATGAGAATCCCAATATTTTGTTTATTATGCTTACTATTTTGTGTACTATATCAAATGGTTGTGTACTATATGTCTACTAATTCTATACTATTCCTGTACTATTTATGTACCTTTACTATTTATGTACTATTTATGTACCATTTATGTACTATTTATGTACTATTTATGTACTATTTATGTACTATTTATGTACTATTTATGTACTATTTATGTACTATTTATGTACTATTTATGTACTATTTATGTACTATTTATGTACTATTTATGTACTATTTATGTACTATTTATGTACTATTTATGTACTATTTATGTACTATTTATGTACTATTTATGTACTATTTATGTACTATTTATGTACTATTTATGTACTATTTATGTACTATTTATGTACTATTTATGTACTATTTATGTACTATTTATGTACTATTTATGTACTATTTATGTACTATTTATGTACTATTTATGTACTATTTATGTACTATTTATGTACTATTTATGTACTATTTATATACTATTTATGTACTATTTATGTACTATTTATGTACTATTTATGTACTATTTATGTACTATTTATGTACTATTTATGTACTATTTATGTTCTATTTATATACTATTTATGTACTATTTATATACTATTTATGTACTATTTATGTACTATTTATGTACTATTTATATACTATTTATGTACTATTTATGTACTATTTATGTACTATTTATGTACTATTTATGTACTATTTATGTACTATTTATGTACTATTTATGTACTATTTATGTACTATTTATGTACTATTTATGTACTATTTATGTACTATTTATGTACTATTTATGTACTATTTATGTACTATTTATGTACTATTTATGTACTATTTATGTACTATTTATGTACTATTTATGTACTATTTATGTACTATTTATGTACTATTTATGTACTATTTATGTAATATTTATCTACTATTTATCTACTATTTATGTACTATTTATGTACTATTTATGTACTATTTATTTACTATTTATGTACTATTTATGTACTATTTATGTACTATTTATGTACTATTTATGTACTATTTATGTACTATTTATGTACTATTTATGTACTATTTATGTACTATTTATGTACTATTTATGTACTATTTATGTACTATTTATGTACTATTTATGTACTATTTATGTACTATTTATGTACTATTTATGTACTATTTATGTACTATTTATGTACTATTTATGTACTATTTATGTACTATTTATGTACTATTTATGTACTATTTATGTACTATTTATGTACTATTTATGTACTATTTATATACTATTTATGTACTATTTATGTACTATTTATGTACTATTTATGTACTATTTATGTACTATTTATGTACTATTTATATACTATTTATGTACTATTTATGTACTATTTATGTACTATTTATGTACTATTTATGTACTATTTATGTACTATTTATGTACTATTTATGTACTATTTATGTACTATTTATGTACTATTTATGTACTATTTATGTACTATTTATGTACTATTTATGTACTATTTATGTACTATTTATGTACTATTTATGTACTATTTATGTACTATTTATGTACTATTTATGTACTATTTATGTACTATTTATGTACTATTTATGTACTATTTATGTACTATTTATGTACTATTTATGTACTATTTATGTACTATTTATATACTATTTATGTACTATTTATGTACTATTTATGTACTATTTATGTACTATTTATGTACTATTTATGTACTATTTATATACTATTTATGTACTATTTATGTACTATTTATGTACTATTTATGTACTATTTATGTACTATTTATGTACTATTTATGTACTATTTATGTACTATTTATGTACTATTTATGTACTATTTATGTACTATTTATGTACTATTTATGTACTATTTATGTACTATTTATGTACTATTTATGTACTATTTATGTACTATTTATGTACTATTTATGTACTATTTATGTACTATTTATGTACTATTTATGTACTATTTATGTACTATTTATGTACTATTTATGTACTATTTATATACTATTTATGTACTATTTATATACTATTTATGTACTATTTATGTACTATTTATATACTATTTATGTACTATTTATGTACTATTTATGTACTATTTATGTACTATTTATGTACTATTTATGTACTATTTATATACTATTTATGTACTATTTATATACTATTTATGTACTATTTATGTACTATTTATATACTATTTATGTACTATTTATGTACTATTTATGTACTATTTATGTACTATTTATGTACTATTTATGTACTATTTATGTACTATTTATGTACTATTTATGTACTATTTATGTACTATTTATGTACTATTTATGTACTATTTATGTACTATTTATGTACTATTTATGTACTATTTATGTACTATTTATGTACTATTTATGTACTATTTATGTACTATTTATGTACTATTTATATACTATTTATGTACTATTTATATACTATTTATGTACTATTTATGTACTATTTATATACTATTTATGTACTATTTATGTACTATTTATGTACTATTTATGTACTATTTATGTACTATTTATGTACTATTTATGTACTATTTATGTACTATTTATGTACTATTTATGTAATATTTATCTACTATTTATGTACTATTTATGTACTATTTATGTACTATTTATTTACTATTTATGTACTATTTATGTACTATTTATGTACTATTTATGTACTATTTATGTACTATTTATGTACTATTTATGTACTATTTATGTACTATTTATGTACTATTTATGTACTATTTATGTACTATTTATGTACTATTTATGTACTATTTATGTACTATTTATGTACCATTTATGTACTATTTATGTACTATTTATGTACTATTTATGTACTATTTATGTACTATTTATGTACTATTTATGTACTATTTATGTACTATTTATGTACTATTTATGTACTATTTATGTACTATTTTTGTACTATTTATGTACTATTTATGTACTATTTATGTACTATTTATGTACTATTTATGTACTATTTATGTACTATTTATGTACTATTTATGTACTATTTATGTACTATTTATGTACTATTTATGTACTATTTATGTACTATTTATGTACTATTTATGTACTATTTATGTACTATTTATGTACTATTTATGTACTATTTATGTACTATTTATGTACTATTTATGTACTATTTATGTACTATTTATGTACTATTTATGTACTATTTATGTACTATTTATGTACTATTTATGTACTATTTATATACGTTTTTCAGGGTATCTCGAAAACAATAGTAGATTCTTTTGATAAACTGACGGTGGCTCAATCAAATTTTCAGTAGGTTGTTTCGTTTGATTAATAATGGTGATTTTAGAACAGGGTCAAACATTACAAGGTTCAAGAAGATCTTTATTAGGAAAAATATAATTTTTTATTGGGTCCCATTAAACAATATAAATCTAAATTTAGACAGGTATATTTTGGATTTTCATAGTATTATAAGGTAAACGTCCATTTTGTAGAACACTGAATTATCCGAAAAATTACCTAATCTGAAAATTATTTTCCGATGGTACAAGAAATTATCCGAAAACCTGAAATAGGCCGATTTTTATTCTTAATTTGACAATTTATATTTTGCTAGTATTACCCTTTCTTGCACCCCTTCTAAAATATGAGGACCCCCTCGAAAATTTTAAATGAGACAGGAGAAGTGTGGTATCTTATTTGAAAGTAATTTTAATTCTATCTTCATTATTTTTCTCAGTTTTGAACCAAATTTAAAAACCTTGATATTCCTGAAGAGAGGATTGAAAAGTCTTTCAGATGCCACATTAAATTTTCGCAGAAATGCTCATAATTCAAAGGAGTACAAGCAGTAAGTAATATTTTCATACTATAAATTGTTAAATTAAGGATATAAATAAAATAACGATTAAAATGAATTTAATCCGTACATAATATGGACCCCACTGCTTATAAATATACTTATTCATCACAGCATTTGATTATTGAGTTCTAAAAATGTTGTTTTATCTTTTACGTTAGTATATCTGTTTATTTCTGATTTTATATCGAACTTAATCAAGATAATAGACTAGGTATAGAAGTTGTTATTTCTATAAATAAATTTATATGTAAAAACATAAAATGACAATATTTTAATTAAATAACCACGAACAATCTAAAATTATTGTACATTTTACTATTTTACTATTTTAATTTAATATTTAAAAATGGAGTGAAATCATTATCGTATCACTAATACCAATATATTTAAATAAGTATTATTTAATTTTTTTTCTTTAATAGTTCCTTATGTTACTCTATATCTAATGCTTTTAGCCATCTAAACTTTTGAAATATGGTATTATTCAAGTACCCGTTTTATTAAAAAAAATATATATAAATTAAATTTTAGTTTAAATATCTTTTTTTATTTCAGAATGATGGACTAACGGATCTGAAACTTCTAAATTTGTCGAACAACAAAATTAGTCAAATACATATGTTTGCTTTCGAAGGTATTAACAATTTGAAATCGCTCGATTTGTCTTTTAATATATTAGAATATTTCTTGGAGCAGTGGTTTTCAAGCTGGCAAAATTTAGAAGAGTTATATTTAAGAGGCAATAACTTGGTTCTGATCAACAAGCAACCTCCATTGAATCTGCCATCATTAAAGGTAATTTTTTATCTTGGTCTCATTTCTAGATTTTAATCAACACCTACATGTTGAGTTTTCTTATCAATTGTCAATTTAAAAACTAGTGTCTAACTAAGAACATGTACTTTAATTTTTTTAGACTATTTTCTTTTACTTTCGATTATACATACCTATTTATTTAAAACTTTACATGTCCATGCTCAATTTTGTATTTTTTAGATTTTGGATCTGAGCCAGTCTAAGATAGAGTACTTTAATCCCAACGTCTTCACATTACTACCCAAACTTGAAATATTGGACATTTCTTCAAACTACATGCAACATCTAAATTTTGAAGTGATAGTCCCTCTTACAAATTTGAAATTATTAGTAGCAAAGGATAATAATCTGGAATGTAAAGAAAAATTCCTACCTTTATTACGACATCTAATTCGAAAAAATAGCATTACCTATGTTGGACCCTGCATAAGGACAGTTAGAAGAATGAGAACACAGAGACCAAATATTGAAGAAAGTTTATCAGTATCAAATAAACCAGAAAATTCTGAATATGTCATTCAGGATGGAAATAACAAAGATTTAGAATTACTTGCTCCAGTTGGATATAACCGGCCGAGCGACAAAATAGGAAAATCCGAAAAAAAAATTGACAAAACTGCAAATTCTAGAAAAGAAGAAGGTGCTAATTTGCCTGTTGATACAGATAAATTAGCAATTTCTAGCAATTTAGAAACAGTTAGTGACTCAGAGATACTCGGAGATTTGCAAAATTTTATAAGTTCTGATAAATTCCAAAAAATGAAAATGGAATCTCCCTCTCCCAATAACAAACTTGAAAATGTTGTTCCTTTCAACAATGATGATAAACTTGAGATTTCTGAAAACAATCAATCAGAAAAAATAAAAGATGATGATTTATTCGATAAGTTAAAGAATTTCGTACGATTTGAAAAACTTAAAAAAGTTTCAGCAAGTGATTCAAATGCTAAAACGGTTAGAGAAACCCCGACAAATGCACCAGAAATGTCCGACTTAAAACCAACTGTTCCTGAAATAGCTGAAAAAAATGCTTGGATGGTAGATGACGAAAACACTAAGAGCGATAACGACAATAGTAAAAACTATATTGAAAATTGTAATGGCACCAAAAAGGTTAATTTTAATAACGTATTAGATAAAATGGCAATGGAAATCATAGAAATATCACCCTCTATGATATTGATACTGTTTACTCTTTTTGGAATTATGCTTGGTAAGTTCAAATTATAGATATTTATGTAAAGAGTACACAAAAACAATAACAATAATAATAAATAATAAACGAACAGGTCTATACAGGGTGGCCACTTTTTTAATGGGATTGTATTAGTAATTTCTAAACCATACTAGTTAGAAAGTTGGTTAAATGGAGAAAAAGTTGCCTATCTCAAAGTGTAATCTAGCGGTGGAAATAAATCGAAAATATCAGGCCCGGTTCTTGAGATAATTCAATAAAAGAAAATTCGATCTTTTCGGTTTTTTTGTTATCGTTCATTTATTTTTAGAACTACCAAAAAATATTTTAAAGGTTTTTTATTTGATAGTAAATTTTCTTTTAGTTGACGTTTTCATATTTTGCATTCAACGTTTCGTATTCTCCGGACCACCCTCAACTTATTTTTTTTAAATATGGACTTGGATATTTTATAACATTATTTGAAATAACTTTTCAACCTGCATCCAGCGGTGTATTACACAACGGCATTCAATGACGGTTTTTGGGTAATATGGACCGTAATTCAAATTTTATTAAATTTACTCCTGGTTTCAGCCATCTTTAGTTGAATCGACATAATGTCATGCCTCTAGATAAAAAATAAAGTCAATTCTTACAAAATGTATGTAATTCTCCAAAAATTAAACAATTCATCAACAACAATAGTAAAAAGCCTACACAGAACACGAGGCTAATGGCCGTAGTAGTCGACGCCGATGACACCAAATTTAAAAAAAAAAACAAAAAAAAAACAAAAAAAAAAAAACAAAAAAAAAACAAACAAAAAAAAAAACAAAAAAAAAACAAACAAAAAAACAATAGTTATGAAGAAATTTTAAAACGCAATTACTAATAATAACAAGAAGAAATTCAGTTTTTGTAAGTCAAATCAAATTATTTGAAAATATCAATAAAATTAATTGAGTAATTGTTTAAAATATCCCCCATCTTCTTCAATACACTTGGCGGTTCTACTACTCAGATTTCTTATGCTATTGCTTATTTCTTCTTCTTGAATTCTTCCATTTATTTTTTCCTAATTAATCACTTTATGTTCGAAGTATTATACACTGATTATAAAATCATATTACCAAAAAACCGTCATTGAATGCTACTGCTGGATGCAGGATGAAAAGATATTTCCAATAATATTATAAAATATCCAGGTCCATATTTAAAAAAAATAAGTTGAGGATGGTCCGGAGAATACGAAACATTTGATGCAAAATATGAAAACGTCAAATCAAAGAAAATTTACTATCAAATAAAAAACATTAAAAAGATTTTTTAGTAGTTCTGAAAATAAATGAACGATAACCAAAAAACCGAAAAGATCGAATTTCTTTTTATCGAAATATCTCAAGAACCGGGCCTGCTATTTTCGATTAATTTTCACTGCTAGAATAGGCTTTGAGATACGCAACTTTTTCTCCATTTAAACGACTTTCTAACTAGTATGATTTGGGAATTACTAATACAATCCCATTAAAAAAGTGGCCACCCTGTATAATAGTGTATAACTGATTATTTAACACTATAATACATCAACCAATAACAATACTCTTTTTTCTTTAACACATGCTAATTAAAATAAATTGTATCTGAAAACCCTAAATAGTGCAGTGTTTTCACTCATTTAAATTTTCGAGGTATGGAAACAAAGCAAATATTTTTTATAAAAGTTCTGTTTCTATTGTTAAATAATAAAAGGTAATACCCAGTGAACTGATTATTTAAAACGAAACAATACTCTCTATTAACAAAAGTAAGCCAAATTGAATTCGCAGGGATACTGTAAAGATTGCACACAAAGTGTCTTTGCAGATCGGTGTTTGGCCATTTCATGTATTTCCTTATAAATTAGGAGAAATTAGTATTTCTATAACTCAACAATAAAATAATCCAATGACTCTTCCGTTATATTCCTAAAGGTAGTATCCCTTACAACTTGAAGTAATACCTTTAAATTTTTCACCATACACCCATGTCAAAAATGGGAATTAGGACAGAGTTACATTTATTTTTAAAAATGCGGAAAAATTTTTACATGAAATCAGAATCAGAAAAAAAAATGATATTGTAATAAGTATCCAGAGATTTTATATTTTCTTACTCTAAGAATAACAAAGGTAATATATGCTTTGAAAGTCATTTGTAATGGATAGCCCTATATATAAATTTGTTAAAACTCACCTTTAGATAGTCTGTAGTCCAAGAAGGATCTAATGGAAACTGTTAAGATTGGTAGAAACAATAGATATCTTTACACAAATGTATAAACTGGTAGCATAAAAATCTGATGTGTCCAACACATGACTTTTCTGTCTAGTTATTGCAGGCTTTCTCCAGTTATTTTGTACAACCTATTGTATCACTTCTGTAAATAGAACAGATAGAAGAGCCAGAAGTGGCAGGTACGATTCATATCTACACCGACGCCGACGGTTCTAAAACAAAACAAGGCTCAGGATGTGGGATATACCCCAGATTCTAAAAATAAAATGGGCTGTGAGCAATAGTGCCAGTGTAGTTCAAACAGAGCTAACGGGGATTCTCATAGCAGCAAAAGATATAATCAGAAACAATATCACTGGAAGGAACATGCTCATCCATACAGATAGCAGACAAGCACTACTCACCCTGAACAGACCACGAATTTGTACAGGGTTATTACTAGAACGTCACGAAGCTTTGGCCGAAATATCCATCAACAATGTGGGCACCTTAAGATGGATCAAAGGTCACGCCACATTAAAAGGTAACCGTCTTACCGATTCACTAGTCAAGAAAGCAGCCAACTAAATACTTTTTGGACCTGGCCCTTCTATTGGCCTGACAAAATTGGTAGCGACAGACCTAATTAAAGAACATTCCCTTGTGAAATTCAAGGAAAGATGGGATGAAACAAGAAACTGCAAAGTTGCCAGGGAGCTCTTAAGTTATCCTGACAACACTGCAGCAAACAAATACTTGACTATGACTAGACAGAATCTGCACCTGGTGGCAGGCATTCTGACTGGTCATTGCCAAGTACGGAAGCATTTCCATATCATGAGGCTGTCAGAATCCGCACTCTGCAGAGAGTGCATATCCTTTACGATTGCTCGACGCTCTCATTTATTAGAAGATTTGTGTTTGGCGAGTATCGGCTAACACCGGCCGATATAAGAGAAGCACCTCTTGGCGACGTTGTCAACTACATTAAATCTGTAGGCTGGCTCACGAGCTAGGAGGTGCCTATCACCTCAGGAGAATGCACAATGGGCCTAATGAGGCCTAAGTGCCGTGAGATATAGATACTCCTGTAAATATTCATTGCCAACGAAAATACTAAAAAATTAAAATTTTACATTTTTTAAATTTCTCCATTTAGAGAAATAGAAAATGATATCCCAAACAACTTTAATTTAATTTTATTAAAAATTAGGATTTTGCACATTTTGTCAAATTTATCGAATACGGTCCATTTTAGGCAAATTATGTATACTGAAAAAATTATAGAGTAACATTACAAGCAACTTTTATTTTAAGAATTTTCTTCTACATGCGTCAATAGCAGATATATTTCATAATGTAGAAAAACGATCTTCATAAAGTACTCCCCCAGATGTTCTGACTATTCCCAAAATTTAACCAGTTCACCGCAGGATAGATTAAAGTTAATTTTAAAATTCGAAATTTGCACATTTTCTCAAATATCTTGATTACGGACCATTTTAGAGAAATTATGTATAAAACAACAATTATAGAGAATTATATCATAAACAACTTAATTTAAAAAATTTCTCGAAAAATTGTATTTTTTACATTGTCAATTATTTCGAATACGGACCATTTTAGAAAAAAATTGTATGAAACAAAAATTGTAGAGAATAATATTACTCTTATTAAAAAAAAAAATAATTTAATTTTTCCCCATCTAAGAATCGAACTCGAGTCTTCCGTGTGAAAGGCAAGAACGCTGACCATAGGACCACCTATTCTTTTATTTTTATTGCTTTATTATTCGTATTTAAATTGACTTCATATAGTTTTATTTAAATTAACAAATTATTTATAATTATAGATGAAATTAAAACAGAAATGCTGTTACTTATCGATTCTACACAAGAATTACCCATTTAAATGTATGTTTAATCATAATAACTAAAAAATATACTGACAATTAGTTTGATAGAATTGTCACTCATTTAAAATTTTATAGCAGTCGATTGATCAAGATATGAACGGTGATTGGTGGATTTCATTTTTTTTGCAATTTTTTCACTACCTAGAATGGATATGAAATATATTCGTTCAGTTGAAGACAATAGCATACTTTTTCGTTTTGTAATCTGTGCGTAGATAAGCTAATATCCATGACGGTGTGGAAAAAAAAATTATCATTAAGGTTGCACTTACCCCCATAGTTTTTTAATCTTCTCACAGATAATGCTAGCATACTTATTTACGTGATAATTGTAGTTAAAAATATTCAACAGCGGTCCAACTAAAAGGTCAACACCACCATGTTCATTTACCTAAAGCGAGAAATACAACAGGTACTAGTAGTAATGATTAAAGTTAGGCACATTGTAACGGGTCAACAATGGGCCTCCAGATACTTTTTAACAGATATTTTAAATAAATGATTAAAAGTCGGGATACAAACACCCCGGGAAGATATATAACGCGAGAACAACAGATGCAAGAACAAAAAACCCTTTTATTACAGTGTATCACAAAGAAAATTTCACAAACTTTCGGCTCTATGTTAATACATAAGTACAACTAATTAGAGAGAAAAAAAATAAAGTTTAACTATATCGGGAGACTCACAAAATCAGAAATTTCCGATACTATATCATCAAAGTTTTAGATACATAATTATTAAATTAGATAGATATAATCCATATATTTTCACACTGAAATATGTATTATTTTATTTTTTCAGGATTGGTTATTGGCTGCACTGTTCAAGTAAAAGAGATCCCAAAGGTTAAAAAACCTAGCAACAAATTTCTAGATCTATTCAAACGTAGAAAGCCAAAAAATAAAAAACAGGAAATAAATGAAATAGATCAGGGCGATATCAAAATTCCAATTCAAGAAGATGATGTTAAAAAAAAAGAAGACATTGAACAGCAATCAGCAATGCAGGGAAACGACGAGGAAAGCGATGATTGCGACATTTGCGAGGAAGAAAGAGAAATGTTAAGAGAAAGAAAAAATAAAAAACAACCCCAGAGTCCCTTTGAGGATCAGACTTTTCTCTTAGACAATGAATCGGTTCAAGATGGAAGCACTCCAATGATGGGCAAAAAAGAATTCTCATCATTTAAAGGCTAAATAATAATAGAAAATTAGAATAAAAATGTTTGTGTTAAAAATTTGTTATTTATATACCTATTTTGAATTTTGTTTCGTAAATATTGCCAATCAAAACCAATCCATACCAAATTATTTAGAGAAAAGTACCAATGTCAATATAATTTTTCTGAAATGTACATTTCAATTTTCAAAAGTCTAAAATTTTCAAAACTTGTTTAATTTATTTAGTTTGGATGTTTGGATTTGAAAAATGGGACTATTATATGAAGATATAATATTAAAATAATAATTTTTATACACTAATATATTTAAAATAGGGACTTTTTTATAAAAATAAAAATTAATTTAAATATCCAATTTCAAATAGTAAATAAAGATGGAATGATAGCTTCTGCGCTCATATTACAATTTTTTTAATTTTGTTATAATGACTACCTACGTATATCCCTTTAATAAGGAACTTAAAAATATATACTAGTATACTTGTATGTGTATAATTTCTTTGGATGTGGATTATTTTATTGTAGTGATTAGGTAAAATACCCAATTTTTGCGTTTATACTTTTCAGATATTACAAGAATGTATGTTTTATAGTGTATGTTGTATAATTTATGTGTCCATTTCCTTGTTTTATGTCTCTATTTTGTCCGTTTCTCTTTTTAAATGTAAATTATTTAAAACTATGATTTTTGTACTGGTCTAATTTAATTTGTTTTATTATATTTTTATTTTGTTATACGAAGTTTGAAAGTACAAAATATATAAAAAGTAAATATTTATGTTTTTTCGGAAAATAAACGTTTTTTGATTTAAAATAATTATAAACTAAAATGTATTCATATTTTTTTAATACAGGGGTTTCAAAGCATATTGACATTTTATTAAAGAATGCCTCCTAAGCTAAAAAAGTTTAAAGATGTTGTTTTCACCAAATGATTTTAGTAATTTTAAAAGGTTTTTATTTTTATCTTATATGCAGGTGTTCTCAAACAATATTATTTCCAATAATTTTTCCTTGACTGAGTTGGCTATGAGAACAATTTCTGTCGTTAAATGTGCTCATGTCAAATTAATTTAAAAACCTAGTGTATTAAAAATTGGTGTCAAAAAAATTATAAACGTGGGTAGTGGCGAAGAATTTATCATAGGCACGCCACCAGAAATTAGAGACTCGCAAATAATTTGGAGTCTTTGAATTTGATTCCAAAAAAAATTAAAAATTGTATACAAAAGAACCTACCTCAAATTTAAGAATTACAATCGGTCTGCAACACTTTATACACTTAACTTTAGAGCCATGGCCGACAGTATTTTATGAAGTACCTTTATATAAAAGTTCTACTTTTCGACTATGTTTTCTGTCCAAAAAACGACGTTTTTTGACAGATTCGTATAAAAATCGAAATGTTCTTAACTGCTTTGTAACTGGATATTAATTTACAGATTTGCAAAATGACGTCCATTTGCATCGAAACATCTTTGACAATTAGTGTATTTCCGTTAATGTTTCTAAATGTTTCTATATATGCGAGAGGATTTAATTCATAGACCTCATTCTTTGTGTGACTCCAGAGGTAGAAAACTAAAAGCGAAAGATCAGGAGATCTAAGAGCCCAAAATATTGGATCATTTCAAGAAATGACTCTTTCGTCAATGTGCTCTATTAAGAATACCTGACTTGAATGGTGTTATAAGCCGGACAACCATCCTGTTTAAACCAGGTTCTTTTAAACTCATCTGCCGTTAGAGTACCACAAGACATGATTTACAAATTCGGGATTTTCATTACACTTCCTTGTACACCATTCACAGAAGAACATGAGTCTTAAAAAATCAGTTTCCTTCAGTCCTTGAATTATTATGGGTTGGTATGAATAGTACTTATTCTTATTTAATACTTTCTGTACTGTTCATTTTGACACACCAATTTCCCGTTCCACAGTTTTTACTCATGCACTAGGGTTTTCATCAACAACTTGTAAAATGTTAGTGTTGCGATTTTTATTTTCAATATAGTATTCGCTTTCAGGCTGTTCAATAGTCCTATAGTTAATTAAATTAACTACGATTTTTCTAAATTGGGTTTTATGAGGTTGCTGAGGTATAATGTCAGCGTTTTTGCGCGAACATGTAAAACTTTTCTACATTTGAATAGGGAATACCAACTATTTTTCACAGATTTCCACAATTTGTGTAACAGATTTATTATTCTAATGAGAGCAAACGTATTATTTATTAAAACTTTGATAGTTTGAATTATTTAACGTCAAAGTCAGAGCCTCCTGAGATGCAAACAATGGGCTACTTATAAAAACCCTATCTGCTGACAAATAAATCATGGCCACCTTAGAAAAAACTTTACGAAGTGTGATATTTCGATGATACTCAAATCTTTTAGATACCTGTGAAATGTCACAAGACTGTAAATTTTTGGGTTATTTCAAAAATCGAAAAATCCAATGTAGCGGCCATAAGAAAAATCAAAGTTAAGCCGGATTGCGGGATAACAAAAAAAGATTAGGACATGTCATACATGCTATCCTATTCGTCTTAAAAAGGTGTCCGAATAATGTCAGATTTTGACAGCTGTCAAATTATTGGTTTTGGATGTACAGGCGAAAAACGAAATCCGCCATTTTCGGTTTTTCGCCGATATTTCCATAACTAACTGACCGTTCGTAAATCTGAAGCCGGTTATCAAATGCACTAAGTTTTCTCTAAAATTTTCCCATTTAACATTTGGTGTAGGTATAATAGGAACCGAGATCCCTGTATAGAGAATCGAATCTGGGACACACTATATCAAAAAAATTAAAAATAACTTTTTATATATAATATACAGGGTGTCAATTTAAATACTTCCCATTGGTAATATCATAAAAAAGAATATTAAAAATTGCTTCGAACAAGTAGATTTTAATTGAAGGGAGACATCTTTCTATTATATTCTAATGGTCATCCGTCCCAAAACCAATACAATTATTTAAATAGAGAAAATACAAAGTGTGACACATTATTAAACAGGTGATTTTATGAGGAATTCGGCTATATGCTTGTTCATTGCGGCACTTTTGATTTCATCGTCCTCTAGCGGGATAAAAAACTGTTACGTATTATTAAAATACCTGATTTGAAAGCTAATTTTCTTAGTAATTTAATGGTAAATATTACAAAACTTAATTCAATGAAACAAAAAATATCATAAGAATATTACCATGACTGTTAGAATTTAATCAATTTAACTATAGTCACAATCAACCAAACTATAAAATTTATGCTACGCATTAAATTACTAATGAATTTAGCTTTCACACATAAAGTGTTAAACTTTACAATACGTAACAGTTTTTTATTTCGCTAGAGGGCGCTAAAATCAAAAGTAACTCAATGAACAATCATTGCGTAACAGAAATGGAGCTTGATATTATTATTGATATAAGTATTTTGAGAAAATGTAATGAGGGCTAAAAAGTGTTGCCACTAGAGCACACGACTGTGTATATACTGATATGGTAAATTTCTGGACCAAACTCGTGCATGGTTTGCTTTCTTTTAAGGGAATATTTTTATTTGTTAATTGGAAGCATTAAGGAAAGATTAAATAAAAAAAAAGTAAAAAAAATATCGCAAATAACATCAATTATGATTAAACATTGTAGAGTTAAACCCAACACGAATTAGGATTGTTCTTCTACAGCCAATACATTCGAATACTAAAACTGGAAGGCTAGCACGGATGATGTGGACTGTATCATATTTAGTTGAGTTATACAAGTTATGGTTTATGGTAGGAGTACAGCGAATCCGGAATAATACGATGCCACGAGAATGCAAGCTTGCATTCTCACGTCTATTCGCTTTATTTTATCTTCCATGTAAAAAGTTTAGATTTAATTTTGATTTCGATGTAAGAACATCTAATACATTTATAATTCTTGAATTTGTTTTTTACTTAATCAAATTTATTTTACATTTCTTAAACGGTAACAAAAAGTTAGTTAAATTATAAGATAAATAAAATTCATCGAAGATGACCACAATTGAGAGGTTGAATTCCCTTCTAAGTTGGTTAAAATAGATAAAAGTTGCGCAATTTTGTGCTCATTAAAACTTTTATATCTGCAGGGAGATTTAAAATATCAGACAAAAGTGAAAATTTTTATTTCTTTAAATTACAGGATAAAATTAGTCGCAGGTAAGAAATACATTTTTAATTTTCGTTCTTTACAAGTAAAAACTTCTGTTTATATTTTATTCTTAAATAAATTGCCAAATTTTAAGAGCCTATATTAACAATAAAAAGTTCCCATTTTGTGAATTCTAATAAATAATGTTAAATACCGAATATTTTACTGGGAAAAATTAGGCAACTTTCTAACCTAACTTTTATAATTTTCTGTATAAGTTTGCAAAGAGTTTCAGTTGGTAATTATACAAAATATGTCAATATTAATAAGAATCTGGTTTACCGGAATACCGAAACACTCTCACTAGCTAATAAATTAACAGCTCAGCAGACTTTACTTAAAAAAATTAATGTATTAAAACTTTGTATTTTTGAACAGGAGAGTATGAATAAGAATGATTTTAATGGAATTGGTCAAAACTTATTTTCGTGGCTCTTGTTATGTTGAGACATGCTGTTCTTTGAATTTGTTCTAGTTTACAGATAGCTGTCAATTTTAGGGTTTTTGTTTCCCAGACAACTTCACCGTATATTAGCATATGTCTTATGAGAGCCGTGGAAGTCCATGCGACAACTCTGGGGGAGAAACCCCAGGTGCGCCCCACGGTTCGGCGGCATTGTTCTAAATACGAGTTCCATATTAACTTGCTGTTGCAAAGTTTAGTTTTGTATTGGGTGTTTTAATTCTATATTTATCCTTTTTCCTTGTGATAAGGACCATTTCAGTCTTCTTGGGATTGATAGACAGTGAATGGTCCTTGCACCATTGTTTTATAATTTTAAGAGCTACTAGTGAAGAATGTAATGTTTGAATTATTTTAAGTGAAAAAGAACCAAATATACTTTTGAACATAGTACTGGCACAGCTTATACAATACAGCTCCACAACTCCGTGTCGGCGTCTTTGATCTGGCGGTCGAGAACCAAGCAAGACGGAATGGTGCTATCTCTGTTAGATTAAAGGGAAAAGTCGGGCCCGGATTAAGCAATTTTTTTATTATTGAAAAAATTGAAAACCTTGACGTAATAAGGTTGGTTACATGCCATGTTAAGTAAGTTTTGGGAAATTAAATTTTTAATTTGTTTTAAATCTGTCAAATATAATTAAAAAAATTATTTAAATATAAATATTACGAAAAATAGCACATCTTTCGGATTAGAGGTAAAATAATTTGTATGTGGCTAGTAAAATCCTCGTTAACAAATGTTTTGAGCTAAAACAGTCACTTCACGACAAATTGTGACTTGGATCCTTTTGCACCAAGGGCTTCAATTGTTAAAGAAATGTGTCACGCTCGTGGATGCAAATCAAGTGGCACCCCGTGTCTCTGGCAAGTGTTACTCTTCGCGCAAAGGGTTTATACCTAGATAAACGAATGCTTCGACTGAGGTCTGGGAACTCTATGGTATTTTGGAATTATAAAGAATTTGTGCTTTTATTTTAACAATATTGGTTATATTTAGATGTATTCTTAATAATTGAAATACAGATTTGTAGAAGTAATACTTTAACAGTTTTTATTAATATAATATATTCAATTTTTATCTGACCATACCGAAGTAGGGAATTTTGAAACTTTATAGTAATGTGAAATTTGAATTACAATATTACACGATATTACATAATTAGTACTTATTTTAGGTAGGTACTAAATTTGTATTAGGAGAAAGTAATATCGATT